TCCCCTTCAACGCGCCGCCTGTACCCGAGCAGCAGCAGCAGCAGCAGCAGCAGCAGCAGCACTAGCAGCAGCAGCAGAAATGGAAGCAGGTGCGGGAACAACAGCAACAGCAACAGCAGCAACAGCAGCAGCAGCAGCAGCAGCAGCAACGCCTGCTGGGACCTGCGAGGCCAAACTGACAGCACTCTCAAGGGCTTCTTGCCGCCAGCAGCAGCAGCAGCAGCAGCAGCAGCAGCAGCAGCAGAAGTTAGCAGCAGCTGCGACACTGCCAGCAGCAGCACTCGCCCCAGGAACGAAAATTCGCTGCTGTATTGCTGCAGGTCTGCAGCCCCTACCAGATACAGCAGCAGCAGCAGCAGCAGCAACAGCAGCAGCAGCAGCAGCAGCGGAGTCTCTCTGCTGCAAGCCGCTGCTGCTCATAGAGGGATAAGCTTCAGAAGTAGCAATGAACCGGCAGCAGCAGCAGCAGCAGCAGCAGCAGCAGCAGCAGCAGAAGCAAGGGCGCTGCCGAAGATGCACTACCGCCGCAGCAGCCGCAACTACGGCAGCAGCAGCAGCAGCAGCAGCAGCACCGCAGCTGCTGCGTCTGATAGGGAACTGATATGTTTGCTGCAGGCTCAAAACCATTTGCTGCAGCAGCAAGTGCAGCAGCAGCGAAAGGAAAGGCAGCATTTGCTGCTGCTGCTGGCAGGCACCCTCGGTTTGCTGCTGCTGCTGGGAATCTCCTTTTTGTCGGTGCGCTAGGGTTTAGGGTTTAGGGTTTAGGGTTTAGGGTTTTGTCCGCGAAGCCAAGAAACCTAAACCCTCAGACATCAGCGGCGCTGGGGAACAGCGAGGGTTTGGTCACGAGCTGCCAGCAATTAGGGTTTAGGGTTTAGGGTTTAGGGTTTAGGGTTTAGGGTTTAGGGTTTTTGTACAGGGCGGCGGGGGAGCAGGCGGACAGCGTCGGTACGATGATCTGCTGCTGCAGTCTCGCGCTGCAGCAGCAGCAGCAGCTGCTGCTGCTGCTGCTGCTGCTGGAGACCCAGGCTATCCAGATGCTTTGCTGCTGCCGGGGGAGCCCCCGTACTACGGCTGGGCCGGCGACAGCAGCAGCAGCAGCAGCAGCAGCAGCAGCAGCAGCAGCAGCAGCAGCAAAACGCACCCAAGGAGCTGGCGGTCGAGGACACCGAAGCAAGCGCCTTTATTGTGTCTCTTTAATCTCTTTTGGGGCCTTCTGTGCTTCGCGTAAACCCTAAACCCTAAACCCTAAACCCTAAACCCTAAACCCTAAAGCCGGAGCTGCCTTAAAGCTGGAGAAGTACGGAGTGCCTTTCTTCCGCATGACTTAGGGTTTCCAGTTTATAGCTAGGGTTTAGGGTTTAGGGTTTAGGGTTTAGGGTTTGGGGTCTACTGGTTAGGGTTTAGGGTTTAGGGTTTAGGGTTTAGGGTTTAGGGTTTAGGGTTTGTGTTTGCAGGGTGCGCCTGGTGGCCCTTTGCCTCGAATGGCTTCTAGTTAGGCCGCTGCTGTGGGTTGCTGCTGCGCTGCTGCTGCTGCTGCTGCGGTTCTCTGTTGCGCTGCTGCTGCTGCTGCTGCTGGGAGCAGTGGCCGCGTCTCTCCTTGCTGCTTCTTTGCAGAGCAGCAACAGCAGCAGCAGCAGCAGCAGCAGCAGCAGCAGCAAGAGACG